TATATATATATATATATATATATATAATTTTTTTCAGACACCAGTTGCTTGTCACATTCAGATTGGTTGTCATAGTAACGACACTAATTTGTGGAGATTCAGTGCATTGAGTTCCACAAATCTGAATGCATTATTTGTAAATTGACTGTTAAGATAAACATTTTGCACAATTTAGTATCTGTAATATCATTGTGTTGCCACTAGATGCCTGTATAGCCCTATGTAACAATCCCTAGTGGCTAAGACATTGCACATAATTTACACATAAATCACACATAAATTAATTTTATTACATTTTGATTTGGATACTATATACTATACTACTACATATTGTTTAGATATTATCAATGGCTACTTTTTTGTCTTTATCTGTTTTTTGTTCAATTTTTTTGTTGTTGTTTCTTGAAACATTGATTTAAAGTGTCAGTTATTGCATTATTATTTCAGTCAAACCTATAAAACCCCTTTGTTACCCCAAACTACATATAAAAGCTTTATCAGTGGCATAAAAGTAACCAATGCAGCTACTTAATCATTTGCTACTCGTTAACGTCCCCTTTAAATAACGTGACGCTCTGCCCTCTATGACGCTGCTCCCATTAAGCGCTGTTGGAAGTGAATGAATTGATTCAGCATTTCGACACCTCCGTAAGGATGCATTTAACTCGACAAAGCGGTCTAATAAATGATGTATTGATCTCGTGAATTAGCTAATTTTACTATACAAATATTTTTTAATTGGATGTTAAAGTTTATATGGGAATATTACATGACACGCTGATCCTTTAACAATGCATTGGCGCAAAAAACGCACACTTTTTGGACAAATCTGCCACAAATATTTGGACAAATGTGCCACAAATACTGCCTAAACAAAATACTGATTTTGTGCACTTTATTTACTGTACCAATATTTTAAATTGGCCTTTGAACTTAGCTTTATTGCATGGCAAAAAAAAAGTGTTACCTTGCCAAAGCACTGACAGAGCCCACTGATCTAATGGCGTTGTTGAGCGCTCCAAATGCAAACTTTGCATGCAACAATCAGGCAGCAATTGACAGCACTCTGATCTAGTGGCATACAGGCATCGTCAGATTGCCAGTACACTAGCCCAATAATGTTGGGGGATCCAGTGGGGGCGGCAGTCATATTTCAGGGTGACCGTGCCACTCTTTATCACAACCCTGCTAAAAGTGCCAGTACGTGCGCTCATTGTCGCCCCTTCAGCTGGTGGCGCCCTAGGCGACCGCCTAGCTCGCCTATGCCTAGAAACGGCCCTGTCTATGCCCTTTTAGACACTGCAAAGTTGTTCATAAAGCCCAAGGTCCAAAGCACAAGAGAAAGCTGGCCTAAGTTGGCCTTAAAGCAGAAACTCCCATCTCTTGATTAATGATACGTAGGTTGGTCTTGTGTCAGCAGTTCCTGCTAAGTCAGCTGTTCCATTAGAGCCCCATTCAATACACCCAAAATGTCAGTGTTGTGTTGTATGAGGTTGGACTTTTATGGGTTTAGAACGTGGGCCCCTTTTTATTTGTGTGAAATGAAGCACCTTGGTGGTCCAGATCGTAGCGACATGACATCACTGTTCTCCACAAAATCATTGAATTTGTTGCAGTAGTTACTCTAAGTGACAGTGAATTTTTGTGATGGATTTTGTTTAAAACAGAACTTTAGATTGAGTAAAAAATGAAGTACAAGTTTGTGTGTGTGTTTAGTTGGAAGTGGAGCGCGCTCTGTTGGAAGGCGAGCAGGATTCGGAGACGGCTCAGCTACAGCAGGAGAAAGACGCTTTGGAGCAACTTAAAGAGAAGATGGCTGACATTGAGAACAAAGCACAGACGGAAAAATCTCAGGTATGGGCCATGATGAAATCTGTAAATCAGTGTTAGGGAGTACCTAACGGTGAAGTTATTAACTCTCTCCTACATTAACGCTCTCCTACACTGTCCATTCTTTTGGTATGTACAGTAGTTCAGTAGTCAGATTAATTTTTAAGGATTTAGTTCATTCAGACAGTTCATATAAATATCAAAAGTGTGCTACTTTGTTTCTGTCAGGACCACTTTCGTCAAAGATGATTGACAATTAGCATACAGTTTGGATTGGTGGAGTGGTTCTGTTCTAGGAAAGAACTCCACATCCACGCACCCTAGCATGGATAGGAGCAGGGAGAGCAGCGATAACCCCGCAAAACAAAACCATATGCTGATAACCCCCAACACAAACTGACAGCGAAAATCTCATAAGCATGTTTCCAACAGAAACCAGATAGCCTTAAAGGGGCATGAAGCCCCCTGTTTCAGCACTGGTTAGTTCTCACCACCGTTTTAAAGGGGTCATATGATGCGATTTCAATTTTTCCTTTCTCTTTGGAGTGTTACAAGCTCTTGGTGCATAAAGAAGATCTGTAAAGTTGCAAACACTAAAGTCTCAAAACCAAAGAGATATTCTTTATAAAATTAAGAGTTAACCACGCCTACCTAAAATGGCTCGTTCTAACACGCGAAACTACTTTGTTTGGTCTTCCAAAAGAGGACACGACTACAAATCAGTGGTTAAGTTGTATTTACAACACTGTTCCAGAACAGTTTAACCCAAATATTCAGATGTGTCCAGCGCATTTTATGGAGGACGACATCGATGTACTATTAGTCCTTTGCCGCGTCACAAATTGTGACGTCAACACGATGTAGATTTTAAACCCGGAAGATGAAAATAGCGCAAAAAAGCTTAAAATTAACCAATTTTCTCCAACAGTAAAAGTTATCGGATGCTAACATTGTCTTCTATGATGTGCAACACAAACACCTCTGCTAAAATCTCAGAAAAAGTAGTCTGGGGTTTCATGACCCTTTAAGAACAAGAATGTTCCCAGTACAACTGTAGTTTTAAGAACAGGCATGTTCCCAATAACAACCAGATAGCTTTGGAACAAGCATGTTCCCAATTCACTGTAGCTTTAAGAACAAGCATGTTCCCAATAACAACCAGATAGCTTTAAGGACAAGCATGTTTCCAATACAACTAGATAGAACAAGCATGTCCGATACTCGAACAGAATCAACACTGAGCTGACTTCAACTGAACAACGACTGTTTACCATTTTCTCTTTAGAGCTGCACCACAGCAGAAATTATTCCGTTTGCATGATTATTATTTCTTGTCTCTGCTGATAATACTGAAGGACCTTATATATGGATGCTGTGATAGGCGTCGTATCCCTACAGGTAGATGTGGATCAGCTGAGAGTCAGCCGATGAAAGCTTGACTCACGTGACCTGCCAGAACTAACGCTACGCTTGATTTATACTACTGTTCAAAAGTTGGGGGCAGTAAGATTTTTTGTTTTCTTTTTAAAGAAGTTAATACTTTTATTCAGTAAGGATGCATTTAATTGATTAAAAGTGATAGAAATCGTTTGTAACATTATAAATGTCTTTACTATTTCAAATAAATTCTTTTGACCATTTATTCATTTAATAATCCAGCTGTTTTCAACACTTATAATAATAACCAACCAAAATTATTCTTGAGCATAATATCAGCATATTGGAATGATTTCTGAAGGATCATGTGACACTGAAGACTAATGGCTGCTGAAAACTCAGCTTTGCCATCACAGGAATAAATTACATTTACAGTTCTTTTAAATGGTAATAATAATTTATAACATTACAATTTTTCTGTATTTTTGATCAAATAAGTGCAGCCATTGTGTGCATTAGAGACTTCTTTAAAGAAAATCATACTGACCACAAACTTCAGTGTAACAAAATGAAACACTGATTTGAGGCCCTAGGTATTTGTATTTTGTAGTCAACTGCTGTTGTTCATCATTGGTTTTGAGTCTGTTATAGAATTTAGCATGTTTCATGGTTAATTTTTATTGTAGATTTATGTTACCCTAATTGAGATTGTTGGTTTTTGTGCCAGATAAATGCTGTTAAATTGTATTATCAGATGGAAATGTATTTAAAAGATATTGCCCCCTTAAATAGCTTTAGTGTAGTTGGCTACTTTTGCTTCTAGAGTAGCTAATTAAAAGGTAGTTTAATTCAGTTATGCTAAGTATCTTTGTCAGCACCTTTATGTACAGAATGTTAAGTTTACAATACATATTACTTCTTAAATATTAATATATAGCCTTAAATTCATTTGCATTTCACAGACTCTCAGTCCGTGTCCGTGGCAGCCTCTCAGTCCGTGTCACAGTTGGTGATTCCGGCTCTGCTCTAAATACAACTTTGCTAAACTGAGTGACACCACACACTGTGTTGATGCAGGGGATTTCTAAGACAGGAGTTGGTGGAAATCCTGGCACATGCGTCTCAAGTTCAGCCTGGCTTCCGGCTCATTCATTCATTTAGCCTGGCAGCTGCAGAGACACTTGAGATACAAACCCTTTAGCTGACGGCCCATTTCTGACATGCTAACTCTTAAAGAAGATGGTTGATTTGTTCACTTATTAAGTTCCATTGCGATTAGGATGCTGCCTATGTAGGAAGTGGAGCAAGAAAGCTTGCTAGGTTTTGAAACGGAATTATTAAGTGAACGTGATATTAATGCGTTTTGTTGTTTGACAACCATAAACTGTCTATGGTTGGACAGTATTACTTGATGCAAGAATTGCTTTATGATTATTAGTAGTTATTGAACATTGGTGTCTGTTATCAAATTGCTGTTGCCGCCACTTGAGGCCATTGTTTGCAGTGTTGTTAACATGCAAAGTGTCCACTTGTCAATTTCAGTTCAATTCGAACTGATTGCTGAGGTATTTTACAGTTGTTTGAGTGTTGATAATGTCAGCTATAATTTTCCCGCGTTTTCATGTTCTTCGTTTAATTCAACACCTCCACATCCATCATGCCTCACTTGTGCTGTTACTGACTGTGTAGTAACTAACCCTGGCCACCCCACCTGCCCCGACACTAACCCTTCTCTCCTCTCTCCCTGCATCCTATGCGCGTACATGCAGGACAAAGCCAAGCTAGATGCGGAGCGTGTAAAGTTAGAGCGACTGGTGCATCTGCTTGCAGAGCAGAAGACTCAGTTGGACACCTGCCCCGAAGCCTTGAAAGAGCAACTTCAGCTGCAGCTCTGCAGGGTCAGTACTCACACACAGCCTTCATCCACCTCTTCCTCATAACCAGGTCCTTGTCCTCTTCATCCCTAGCGCTTGCATCTGTCTCACCTCCATGAAAGACATTTCAGCTGGCTTCCTACTCTTGTATCGTGTGCGCTTCCTGTATGTTTGTTATGAATTGCATAATGTTTTTGAATAAAAAAATGTTTTTTTGATATAATCAAAATATTGCTCCTGGCACTGATGGGTCATATTTGATTCTCTGAAATTTGAAATATTTTTAAAAAATATTTTAAATCAAATTAAAATATTAATTATTAAGTAAAATACATTTGATTACATCTTTAATTTTAATTTAATAAAAAATGTAATTATCAGTAATTTTAAGTCTAGTTATTTACCAATTTTTGTGCATGTGCAAATATTAAACACATTTCCCTCAAATTCACATTACTGTAATCCAAAAAATCTCATCCTCATTATTGTAATGCATTGTAATGATTATTTATTATGTAATTATATGTTATTTTAGCATCATTGAGATTTATAGTTTAATATTTGTAATACCTTTTTACTTTTATATTTTCCATTTTCATTTGAACTTTAATTTATCATTTTATTAGTTTAAGTATGTTAATGTAGTTTGTATAAAATGTAATTTTATTTTATTTTAGTAAATCAAGGTAACCACAACTAGCTATATGTTTTTTATATTTTATTTAGATATAAACGTTATACTGCAAAAAACAATCTTTATTGAATTATTCTAAATGTTCTCAATACAATTACAATATTTTTCATAAGATTAAACTAAATTCTCTGAATTTAATTCTTTAATAAAATGTAATGTTTTTCTGCATTACTATATACAGTGGTGTGAAAAAGTGTTGGGCCCCCTTATTTTTTTGCATGTTTGTCACACTTTAATGTTTCAGATCATATAAATATATATTAATGATTATGATGATGATGATGATTTATTATGCTGATTATTATTATTATTATGTTTTTATTATTATCAAATTATTCTAATGAAGGTGTTTTTCTTTATTTCTTTCTTTCTTTTTTTCTTTTTTTTTTTGCGTTACAATATTGAGAAATTGAAGAAGGGGGTGCTTAATTGTCATAAAAAATAATGTCACAATGCTAAAAATCTCCAAGTATCATTTCTTATTTCTTTGTCCAAGACATGTTTCATAAGTTTCATGAGATTCACCCTGATAGGCTGGTACACATTCCCTGATAGTGACCATATAAGATGTTAATTAAGTTATAGGAAGGGACGAGGTTATTTAAAGCTGGCAGGCCTTGAATGAAAGTGTGGAGTACAGTAGCTGTTTCTGCAATGGAATGGAATGGCTGCAGAGTTTCTTTGTCACAGAAGGTCATGTTATGTGAGTGTTTACATGATTGATCTCTAAAGGTCAGTGGTGACGGGTGAAAGTTGTGGCAGGTCTTCTGTTCACTGGCATGTTGTGGCGCATGTTTCTAGCAATTATTGGCCTGCTTCCAGCAGGGTGAAACCTTAACCACTGTCTCCATCCCTGGGGAGGCTGCTGGAGCAGAGGGGATTTGGTGTGAACTATTGTTGGTTTCTTTGATGCTTGTTAAACTGTGGGAGTATTACGACTTCATTTCCTTCCCAGTTTGAAGATGTAGAACTAGCACAAATTCAGACCGTCATGTCTTTGTGTATCAGGATGCAGAGATGCTAGAGGTGGAGACCAAGCAGTTTGAAGACCTAGAGTTTCAACAGCTGGAACGAGAGAGTCGTCAGGATGAGGAGAAAGAGACTCAGACCCGAGTGTTTACTTGAGCTCTAAAGGTCAGTGGTGACGGGTGAAAGTTGTGGCAGGTCTTCTGTTCACTGGCATGTCGTGGCGCATGTTTCTAGCAATTATTGGCCTGCTTCCAGCAGGGTGAAACCTTAACCACTGTCTCCATCCCTGGGGAGGCTGCTGGAGCAGAGGGGATTTGGTGTGAACTATTGTTGGTTTCTTTGATGCTTGTTAAACTGTGGGAGTATTACGACTTCATTTCCTTCCCAGTTTGAAGATGTAGAACTAGCACAAATTCAGACCGTCATGTCTTTGTGTATCAGGATGCAGAGATGCTAGAGGTGGAGACCAAGCAGTTTGAAGACCTAGAGTTTCAACAGCTGGAACGAGAGAGTCGTCAGGATGAGGAGAAAGAGACTCGGACACAACATATTCTCAGGGAGATCGCAGAATACCAGAGGAGCACCGTGACACGGAAGGTGAGTTTCCTGGATATGCATTCACCAGCCTGTTTGTTGGCGCCTTCATGTCATCCTGGAAAGTTCTTACTTGTGAGTAAGAACTTTGTGCGTTCAAATGATTTGATGGGCAGAAAGAGAAAAGGCTTTTTCTCATTTTTTACAAAGACGGAAAGCTTTTAAGCACTAGTCCAGAAAAATTAAAAGCAAAAGATGTGATTTAAGTGTAACTTATGTTTTATCAATATTATAGTTCAAACGTTTTAAAATGTTTTTGAAAGAATCCTCTTATGCTCACCAAGGCTTAAGGCTGCATTTATTTGATCGAAAATACACATAAAAACAGTAATATTGTGAAATATTATTACCATTTAAAAGAACCGTTTTCTATTTTAATATATTGTCAAATGTAATTTATTCCTGTGATGGCAAAGCTGAATTTTCAGCCGCCATTAATCCAATCTTCATATGTCACATGATCCTTCAGAACTCATTCTAATGTGCTGATTTGATGCTCAAGAAACGTTTCTTCTTATCAATGTTGAAAACCGTTATTATTAACAGTTAACTGCTTAATATTTTACATAATAAATTTTTTCCAGGATTCTTTGTTGAATAGAAGGTTCAAAAGAGCAGCATTTTTTAAATATAAATAATGTGTAACATTTTAAGTCTTTACTGTCACTTTTGATCAATTTAACATATCCTTGCTGGATAAAATTATTAGTTTTAAAATTATTTTTTAAATCTTACCGACCATCATTCTAGTGCTGCCACAGAGAACGATGGGAAAGTTTTATCACAAGCCTCCTAAAGTGGCTATTTGACTCGTCTCCAAAGTTGAGGCTCAAAGAAAATCTGTAAATATGATAATTCCAACACGTTTTTATGTGTGACACCTTTAGGAGAGGCTCCTGGCCCTGAAGAAACAGCATACCCAGATTTCCCAGCAGGCTCAGAGGGACAAGGACAACTTTGTGAAGGAAAAGAACAATCTTCAGATGATGCTACAGCGGGTATGTCTGTGTAATATTACTACATAGCCATGCTACACTGCCTTTTGGTCCCTTTTTTGCACCCTTCATTGAAAGCTGTTGGTGCTTCTGAATCATGACAGTCTTTCTCATTTTTTCCCAGGAAAAAGAGAATCTCATCAACTTGGAGAAGAAATATTCTAAACTCACTGGGGCATTGGGTTTCCCTGTCAGGCCCATCAGTATGAAGGAGGTAAGTCTGACAGGATTGTCTCTTCTCTGCAAATCTTCTCTTGACATGGACTATGGAATCCTCTCTTGGACCGCACATGTGTTATAGGCCTGAGCACTTCAACCATGTGTGGCTGCCCTAAAAGGTTACTATAACATCATGAATGGAACTACAGTATATAAGGAAGTCTTCACTTTGATCGCTTTTTCACCCATGCCCTCATCACGACCCTTGCAACCTGGAAATCGTTAGTTGCAGAGGGTTGTTTGTGTTTCCTCACCGTGGAAACAGGGTCTTTTCCCCTGTATTCCAGGATTGCTTCCAGTTGGCCGACGTGTGTCCACCTCATAGTGAATTTTGCCATGCCCATAAAACCCTGTCTCCACTTCCTGCTGACCTGCTGATGTTTTCTTCTCTTCTTTCCTCTCTGACTATCAAAAATGCTGAGGTAACGCACTAGCAGTGTGCATGCAAGATAATGTTTGTTGCTCATTTCCTGCTTTCCAAAATACCTCCTAGCATGCCGCTTCTCTGGGTAGTTAAGTTCATAATGCTCTTAAAATAACCTCTAATTATTTCCTCTTTTACTGTTTTATCAGTGCGTTAAATTCCTTGGAGGTTTTTGTTTGGATCCCTTAAACATTAACTGAATTATCATTTTATTTTTATTTTATTTTTAAATTACTTTTCTTTTTTTTCCCCAAATTTGTGATTCATCTGTTATTAATATGCTTGTCATTAATCATTTTAACATACTTGAATGTATGTTTTTTTCCTATTCACACCTCTTCCCCCCCATTTTCCGAATGGTTTGTTCCTCTTCTCTCTTTAATTTAAGAGGTCATTTCATACTACTATATTGGTGTTAGTAGTTTATTGTAAAACATCAAGGCAAGTTCAGTTTTTCATGATATGACCCCTTTAAACAAACTAGCCTATCAGCCCACCTTCTTCTAGCATTCTTATTTTCTGATTTTCTCTGTTCCTGTCTTTGCCAAAGCACTCTCCTTCTTCCTGTCCACTGTCCTCCTCCATCCCTTCTTCCTCTTTCACTGCATGTTCTCGTCCCAATCCTAAACCTCCCTCTGTGCACTGGCCTGAAGACATGGTCACCTTCCTCAACCCTTCTCCTCCTCCTCCCCCTCTACCTGCCAAAAAACAGCGCCGCCACAGGCAGGTAAACCTTGCGAGTATGTGTGTATGTATGTATGAGTGCAATCATTAGTGAAATTTCTTACCTTTAAACTTCTGTTCCTCAGCATTTCCGCACCCTAGAAGAAAGGAAGCGGTATGGTAAGGAAGGCGGACCTCATTTGAGTGACACTCTTCCTCGGAAGAAGACCCAGCCCACCATAACCCCACAGTTCATCTGTGCCACCCTGGGTCGTAACATACCCTCTAAAGTAAGAATCGATTATACAATTACATATTTACATAGAAGTCACTTATGTGCATTTTATGACATTTATATACATTATGACATTTATATATACAGTATATATATATATATATATATACACACACACACACACACACACAC